ATAAGGCCATCAAATAAAGTTTCAAAAGTTCAAGCAATGTTCAACAAATGTTCATAGCCATCGGCAAACAATTAAAGACTGTCGGTATTTTACTGTGGCTGGCGACGACCCAAACAAACAAACAAACGAGAAACGAAACTTCGAGGGGTGTGTCGCAGCAGGTTACATTAGGGACTATTTTACGGGTCGGCAAAACAAGAAAACCACGGAAAACCAAAGGTGACAGTTAACGGCGATTTAATTCCAAATTCCAAAGATCGAAATCTATGGACCAAAGATTGACCGTGAACTGAAATAACAATACAAAAATCTCTATCAATTTGCCGAAAAGGCGATACCGAGACAAATAACGCGTAATCAACAAGCAAAAGCTTGAAAACGGTAATAAAACGATTCTATAATGATTAGGTCGATAACAAGACAGTAAAATCTACTTAAAGGCTACATAGACTGAAATTAAACAATAATTCCATAAATCTGATCTTAATCCTTGTACTATAAAGCAAAAGTGTGGGCGTTGCTCTAACAGAGGTTCAATTCCGCTTTTATTTTCGCTCATGAAACAATTATAAATCAATTAAGCTTAAATCTGTATACTTGTACAGTAACATTCGTGTACTTTTGCCCGCTGACTAAAGAACGAAACTAAACAATATAACAAAAGAAATCACTTACATATCGGTCTCGCTTGTACCAAAGGTTAAGACAAATCACAAAACGATGTCACGACGCGAATCCTACTTGACTTTTCCTGCCCAAAAGGACGCTAACGCGCTTTTATACCCGCGTGGGGACGCCGAAATATCTCATTACAAAACCAATAGAAAATCAGGTAAACATTTTAACTACGCTAGTAACTAGGATCAAAGCATGAAAATCACGAAATCAATGAAAGGTATTGTTCTTATGTCTTTTCCTTTACATTTTTCAATGGACAAAACCCTGTTATCACAGCAGTTGTTATTGCACTTGGTACTGTAAACTACTATTGTACTTTTCTACTGACCATGCTCAAAAGACCATATATGGTCTCTTGCAAGCCTTTAGCAGCTCCCGATTCCAAGCCTCTGATCAACGCAAATTACTTTTAAATGTCAAGTGGCAAGTGTCGGGAGAAGAAGGCAAATAACGAAGCCTGTTCTTATTATGCTAGGGAGAAAGTGTGCGAAACATCTTAACCAACTTACAAAGCTTCAGGCGAAAGAATCGTCGATCCTGGCTCTGTAAAATAATGTAGTTTCTTAGCTCGTTGTTCGACAGGCCAGAGGCCTTTATCTTTGCCCAAAGAGAACTCAATCTGATCTCGTTTTGCTACTTAAAACTTGATCAAAATTTTCAAAAAGTCTTGCCTTTTGCAGGTACTTTTTTAAATATTGCCCAGCTTACTCCATCCTCAGTGAGCTGGTAAACTGCTTTACAATTATGTCATGGGGTAACTCAACCGAATGTAATCGAAACTGATCTACATCAGTAAGAGGATTAAGTGAGATGGTGAGGTATACAACTAGAGGTCATGTGGCTGAAAAGAGTTGGTCAACTGGTGCTACCAAGGCGACGACTGAGAAAAAGCTAGCTATTGCAAACCCCATTTATTCTGAGTCGATCAGCCAATCTTACTGACATTTCTTTTTGTGTGAAAAAAATTTTGTTAAATGGAATTGATCTCGTTTTAAAAGGAACAAGGCAAAAAATAAAAAGTGCTTGGTTTGTTACGGAAACGTGACGGATATAAGAAACTTCCCGTTTCCGTCGAGTTTACAAAATACGGAAACACGTTATTTCGTCCTGTGAAACGCTCTATATGTTAGCCGTCTAGAGTGTAACTATTATGATAGAAATGACGATGACTAATGGAACTGGCTGGAGTAAAATTTTGCATTTTATTCAGGTTATATCCGGAGCAACTGTGTAGACTAGAAAGTTTCACCTGTTTACCTTTACTTACAAGGAAAAATTACGCCAAGTCAATGTTCAGATAAAATAACTAAAGATTAAAGAGTGTGATAAGTACACTGTAACATAGTTGAGGTTAAATGCCCTATTTTTAACGGTAAAAATGCCCGTTTTACTTATTTGGAGTGCTGCTACTCTCTCACTTTCCCGCCGAAACGTCTAAAGAAAGGTTATTTAGGACCATTAATAAGAATGTATGGTAAGAAATGAGGTTCTTGTTTATCTTTTTAGGAACTGCTGGTGACTCTCTTGCATGGCATCATATGTCATTCTCCACCAAAGATCAAGACAATGACCAAACTAAAGGGAGCTGTGCCATTTGGTGTAAGGGAGCCTGGTGGTACAATGAATGTTATTACTCCAACTTAAATGGTCGCTATGCCAACGGTGTAAACTGGTATCACTGGAAACATTACTCCGCCAAACGGGCTGAAATGAAAATCAAACCAGTAGAAGCCTAATCAGCTAATCCGTACTGTTGAGCCCTGTGTACAGACACCGAAGGGACAAAGCAACTACTATGGAGATTTCCGTTTTAAAGAGGTCACTACGATAACGCCAGTTGTCACATTCAAGACTCCGCTGATAGTTTTATATGTAGCCTGAACATGTAACAAGCATTATTGAGGGCGCTCAGAAGGGCTCTGGTACTCGCAACCCAAAACCCGCCTGGATGACCCAAATAACGTCTGTTGCGCCCAGGCCAGTCTTAAGTGTTAAGCAACCAAATAGTACTTCCATTATTGTTTATAAACTGTATCTAAATTGATTAATGTACAGTAGTGAAATACTGAAGGCCGTTTATACGAAAACATAAATGTAAAATAAAACGACGCGTGTCGGATAAGATACGTCGCTTACATAAGAAGCGCACTTCCAGTTTCAGAAACCTGCCTCCCATAATGAAATAAAGTTGCGCCGTTAGCATGTAGCATACTATAATGATAGCTTTTTTCAAACTTCATTGTTTGCTTTTAACTAAATCTTTTCTGCTGGTAATCTCTTGCCAGACCTGGTGATAGGGATAGATCTGCTTGGTCAGTGCTTTGAATTGTTGCTATTGAGAGTTTCAAACTTTTCAAGTAGAGGAATTTTTTTTTTCTTTTCTTGTTAGAAATTCGGTGCACTATTTGCGCTTTTCAGCAAGTTGTATATCACACATGTGTTCATTTTAAGCTGAGATTACAATAAAAATACAGGTGAAACAGCATTCAAGTGCCACATGTGTTTCTTTTTTACTTTGTTAGTTGGGTTTATAATTGTCAGCACTATTGTAAGGTTACAGTGTGCTCGTACACCTTTATTTTACACCTTCTTCGACCATTGAGGAAATTTCTGCAAGCTCTTATCTAATAGATTCCCTACCATTTTCTGAAGTTTAATTTTTTATATTTCATTCCCCAGGTTAGGTTATTTTTCGTGGAAAAAGGAAGCTTAAAAGTTTTGGATTCGAAAATGTGATGGGGAGAGGAATCAGAAAAATTCTCACTTTTGTAAAACGTTTTAACGTTTTAAAATTGGATCTAAAATTTTTGGTCAATAAATATTGAAGAGCTCGGTAATTTCTAAAAGAATCAAGTTCCGCTAGGATGACCGGAGAGGTACAAATTTTATATCTTCGCTTAGAATGCATTTTTAGATATCCAAAAGTACTCTGGGTAGCCTTAAAAGTGTTTTCAATGCATTTAGGAGGAAACCCGCTTCGTTGGGTACCCCTGTATAGTTAACGACCATCTTATATACGGACGCCATAGCAGGTTTAAAATCCAGTAGATTTTGCATATATTCAGCTTAGTTCTGGCTAGAAAATAATCAGTTCCATTTATCTTGAAGCCAACTGAAAATACCCTCTTTGAACGGTCGGCATGCCTTTAGGAAACGTCCTCTAAAGTGGGGTTGTTTAAAAAGGGACCTTTTCTTGGTAGTGGAGGGAAAACGGTGGCTTCATCGTTGGGACGGAGACACCCGTGGTGGAAGTAACACTTTCTTGGTCTGCAGTGTTTTTTCTGCTCCCTTTTCCCTCCTGAAACAGTTTTTCTAAGTTGGCATAAACAAATAATGAAATTTTGTCAAAATAACCCGTACTCCAGTCAATGATAGCCTCTGGCTCACCGGCCTCTATCCAAACGTCAAACTCTCTACAATCATTTGTGATCGCGTGTGTGTTAGGCTAGGATAAACTCTACTCATAAAATGACTTATTCTGCCTGCCGGCAGTGCTCGTAAAAATCTCTTATTCTGCTCAAAATTCTGGTCGGACACCCTTATTCTGCTGGAATTCTGCTCGGTATCCGAAAAAATTTTAGGCCCTCCGGGCCGTATTCAGTTTTTTTTTCGCAAATGTAGAATGGAACCTGGGCCTTACTCCTAAAAAAAACTAATTGGATAAATCATTATGCGTAATGTGAGTTTAATGTGAGTGCGTTGTAGCTATTAAATAATCAAATTATTCACAAGGCTTATTTTTCCATTTGTTTTTTTACTGTAGTTTTAAATTTTTTCTTACCACTGTTATGCACATCATTAGTGCCGCTGATTTCCCTTATTCTGCTCGAAAATGCCTTATTCTGCCGGCAGAATGCTCGCCTCAAAAATCGCTTATTCTGCTAGAAATTCTACCGGCAGAATTTATGCAAGAAGCAGGGGCGGATCTGGGGGAGGGTGCAGGGGTGCCCCCCCCTGAGATGACCTGCGGTTTTCTAATACGACTGGTATTCCAAAAAAAAAAAAAAAAACTTTGTGGTTTATTGGTGTTGTAGTAGAGCAAGAGACGAGTGCACCCCTCCTGAAAAAATCCTGGATCCGCCCCTGAGAAGCCTAGTGTGTGTGTGCTAGTATTGTTGTGTATGTCAGAAGTCACCCAACGTAAGGTAACCTGGAATCCGGGAGATTTTTTACTTATGGAATCCGGAATATTGTATTTTGCATGGAATTCAGTTCAAGGAATCCGAAATTCCGCTAATGAATACAAGTTCTATCGACAAAGAATCCGCAATCCAGTTCCTGGAATCCAAGACAGTCCTGTATGACAAAAGCGCTCGGTGACCAGCGGAGTACCACAAGACTAGTGAGCTGTTGTAATGCCTGCCGATGCCTGCCACAAATTTACGCCTTTTGAAAAAGCTTCTGCTACAAAGGTTTCATCTAAAATTTGGATTGTCAGTTTTACAAGTAAAGGGCCTTACAAGAATGGCCGTAGATGGGGAAGGCTTGCAGAGCAAAGTCACTTTAAACGATGGCTATAAAATGCCTCTCTTCGGTCTTGGAGTGTTCAAGGCTTTGGGTGATGATGGAAAGGAGGCCGTGAAGTTTGCTCTGCAGAATGGATACCGAATGATTGATACAGCTGCTCTCTACGGGTAAGCATGTAGCATTGCGTTGTGAACCACTCGATCATGTGATTAATGAGAATACTGAGCAGTAAGGGACATCGTGTAAATCTTACGAGAACATCTGATTACCGTTGCATGAAGTATTCATAGATTTCTTATTTTAATAAAAAAAATTCAAGCAAATTATAGAATAAGATTTTGTTCTCGTAAATTCAAACTGCCTGTTGAAATAAAAGAAAAAAGGGTTCTTATCGTACGATTTGCTTTAAATTTTTCTCGTATAATAAATAAACGTTTTCTTAGATTGAGAGTTTTGGAGTAATCTCGAATTTAGAGTGATATAGTGAAGTTATGCAATAGTATACCTGCCAACTTTTTCTGAGATATAAGCATGAGATTTTTATCCTGGGAGTGCTGGGATTTTTGAAGACGACTCGATCATTTCCGAAGATTCCCGAAGAAGTCCGAAGTCTTCCGAAGACGTCCGAAGTCTGCCGAAGTCTGCCAAAGGCGAGCTCGCTCCCAGTGCTTTTCACTTCAAAAATCAGAGATCGCGAGGAAGGTATTGCCATTTATTCATTGTACACATGGTTTTCGTTCCTTACATGGGTCTGAGTTAACATATTTTTGGAAATTGTTTCAAGCAGGACGGCAACAACTCACATTTTTCAATCAGGCGTGAGAAATTGGCCCGCAGGCGTGAGCCGGCGTGAGATCGAAGTTTTCAACCAGCAGGCGTGAGACTCACGCCTAAGGCGTGAGAGTTGGCAGGTATACAATAGGACTGGAGAGAATCGTGTGTTACAACGTTACAATAACGTTGTTTGAAAGAACTTTCCGCCAAACTTCACTTTCCGTCAAACCTTTTTCGCACGTGCCTTAAAAAGTCCTTGAATTTTCCACAGAAGTCCTTGAATATTTTTGAAAGCTACTTGAATAAAAGTAGCTTTGATCGTTAAAAAAAAAAAAAAAACTGTTTTGCGCAAACAAGGAATGATTGAAAGCACAACAATACACAAACATTTTCTTGGTGATCATGAAAGTGCTTGTTCTTTATATGATTTCGGTGTTCCGGCATAGTTCATTTTCAGTTATTTGAAGTACCCCAGGAACCATGCCTTAATGAAGTAAGGTATTGCAACAAGTTTAACCCCTCCACCTATGCATTTTACTTCATGTTATTGGGGAAAAGGAGTCCTTGAAAAAATGATTTTAGTCCTTGAAAAGTCCTTGAAAAGTCCTTGATTTTCAAAAAATTCTGTATGAACCATGTCAAACATATCTTTTTGTATTTAAAAGACCTGAAAATATTATTGTTTAGTGAAGATCATGACAAAACAGGCAAGAAATAGCCCAATAATGTTTGTCACACACAGACGTTAAATTGCCCTCCTCCTCTTTGTGGTGTCCAGGACCCGGTTCCTCAAGAGATGGTAAAGTTAAACCCAGGATTACGCCAAATTTTGAGCAAGGTTTTCTTGTCTAAGAGTGTGTAATTTGAGTTTACAAAATGCTGTTGAGCCTTTACTCTGAGATACAGTAATGATAACACTAAGTGTTACTTTAAGCAATACACAAGAAGGCAAAATGCAAAAAAACTAAAGTAAATATAATCATTGATTACAAAATCTGCCTTTTAGGAACCGGGCCCTGTTGTGTTAACTCATTATTTCAAAGCAAGGGAGGTTGGGCATGATTCCCCATATTCTGCAATTATTAACACAAAACCCACATATTCAGAAAGAGCAGAGCTTTTACAAAATTCTCAAGTTTTCAAAATTTACTAAGAGATGTATGGATTGCCAAACACATTTATCAGACGCCTATGTGTTTCTTACTAAATTTTGGAGTTTTTGAATGCCTGTGTCTCATTCACTATTGGCCCGATTAGCACCAAAGGTTTTGTAAATCTTGGTTTAATTCCCCTTTCTGGCTATAGTGGGCCTTGTGTTCACTTCATCCCATATAATTGATGGACTCATACCCAGACCCCCTCAGTTTGAAATCAGGCAATTAAGGTGATTAAGCGAACAACATGGGGACATTTCATTTTTGTATCCAACAAAACACTAGCCCCCCCCAATCATCTGGTTCCTAGTTACCTCGATAGTATTACTGATCAACAAAAAACATCACAGGAAGACGTGAAAAACAAAACAGAAAAAAAGGTAAAGCTAACTTAACCCTTTAAACCCCTAGATCAAAATTGGAATTCTCATTTGTTGCCCCTATTCATTTTCTTCAGAAGTAATGGGAAGAAGTTGATAACATCAAACAAATTCATCTTGAGTGATCATGTCTGTAATTCTCCTGCCCACTCTGTTTTACAAAGCATTGATATTACAAGGAGAAATTTGATGCTGATCACTCTTAGGACTTAAAGGGTTAACCTAGGAAGTTTCGGCTTACTTTGCCCCATGGATAGTAGTCTTGGATTCTGAATTCCATGCCACAGATTCCAGATTCCTTGTACTGGATTCCAGTCTATAACAGTGGAACTTGGATTCTGGATTCCTTGAGCTGTTTTCCAGATTCCAAAGCCCAAGATTCCCGGATTCCAGAAGCAAAATTTCCCAGAATTCCAAATTCTACAGGCAAAAATTTCCCAGATTCTGGAATCAAGATTTTCTTACATGGGGCAAACTTTTACATTACCAAAATGGTATGGGATAGTACACCTGACCTGTTTGGACCTTAGTGACTTACGTCTGGATGTATTTTTTACGTATTGATTTATAACAAGGTTGAGTTCTCCTCTCTGATAAATGATAAATCCATAGGGATATTGCAGTGTATGGAAAACGTGAAAAAAAGAAGGGAAAAAACAGGATATGAGATATTCAGAAAAGAGATTCTGTTATGACATTTAGTGCATCAAAGCAATTTGTTTTATTTTTTACAGAATAATACAAAGTAGAATTATTAGGAATGTTTGGCCAAAAAAAATTAATACTACCACCAATTTAACTAGAAATAGTAACAGCTTCTCTGTTAGAATGATTGTATTTTTTAAGTGTTTGCCCTTTTTTCAGAAACTACAATTCTATTCATTTAAACAGTAGTTGAACCATTAACAACACATCAGGCACACAAAACATTTGACATTTTCCTGGGTAAAATTAATGAAAAATGAAGCGTTTTTGAAATTCCTCAGAAATGAAGCTGAAGTTGGACAAGCAATCAAAGACTCTGGATTAAAGAGAGAGGATATTTTTGTGGTAACAAAACTTCAGAGTAATGCTCATGGATATAACCAATGTCTTGAAGCTTTTAATTTAAGCCTAAAAAAGTGAGTAAATGGGTTATTGCAGGCGACAAGAAGAGCCTACAATCCGGGGGGGGGACTCTGCATATGAAAGGGGTGGGGATGCTTGTCAGAAATTTTGAATTAAACCTCTAAAGGAGACCAGTCTCGGTGTGGCCCTAAAAGAGACCATGTTAAGACACAGACAATATATATTTTTTATATTTTTTCGTGTGCAACCCTAAACAAGACCTTCATGTCTAAATATGATGGCGTTTTGCCCAGAACACCCTAAGTGAGACCAAAATCTGAAATTTACACCCCTACATGTAAGCAAAATGATGAGCATCCCCACCCCTTTCATATGTGGGTTGCCCCCCAGCAATCATTACACTTGTGTCGCATGTATGTAGCTAGCATTCATTTGGACTTCCACTAAGAATGTATGGAAATATGCACAGAATGCACGTTGATCACACGCATTTGTACCTTCTACACTCATAATCTGATCATGCGTGTTTTGACCATCTGTTTAAATGTAAAACTTACTCAAACCACAGCGCTGGAGCAGAAGTGTTTTGACCATCAATCGTTGTCACCTGCACTCTGTAACCTTTGGTCATATTTACTAGTTTATCAAGTGCATTTAGTTTTTCATTAACGTTTTAGTTATTATTTTTTTAAAGATTCTCTGACAATGACAAACTTCTTGCAGGCTTGATATTGATTATGTCGACTTTTACCTCATCCATTCTCCTACTCCTGGGGAAAATATTAATTTTACAAAGCCATGTTGAAGCTTCAGGAGCAAGGGCTTATAAGGTGACTATTCATGTTTACTACCTCTATTTTTTGTTTCCAGTTTGGAATTCCAGCACAATTTTGCCACTGTAGTCTGTTGATTTGTTAAGGCAGAGAATACAGAACACAACAAGGATCAAACAAATAACAATGGTGTAATGGTAAACCGCCATTACATTGAGCACATGGCCTAGAGAGAGTAGGATTGTGGGAGTGCTAGGCATGTAATGCATGCACACTTCAATGTTCTATCAAACAACATAGTAGCTTTAATAAGCTCTGTTATCCTAGCTACTTTTTAAACTGCACTTTTTAACAGCCAAAGTTTATTTGACTCACCCTCTCTAATAATCCCAACCCCCCCACCACCCTCCCCAAAAAAAACAGAGTTTTCATAATGAAAGTATGAAAAATTCTTTGGGATCAACAGTAGTTAATGATTATTCACAGGTTGCACTTACTCAAAAAGTTGTAAGATGAGTTACTGATTAAAAAAAACTCTCGCTAAATCATGTATTGGCGCGGCTGTGCTAATGATGCTACTGTTGAAAAACTGAAAGCACAAAAACAAATTGCCAGATGCTGCCACTCTACATGTAGTTTTAAATATGGGCTCCCTGTTCTAATAAACCCCTCTCCAGCATTAACCCTTTAAGCCCCAATGTCCACGCACAAATTCTCCAAACTGATCTCCTACATTTCCTTTAAGAATTACTTGAGAGAATTTGATAAAAGATCATGGTATTTTCCCTTTGGTGATCATTTTCATTAATTCTCATAACTTTATCTTTTGACAATGTATGGATATTGTTAGGAGAAAATTGTTGTTGGTCACTATTGGCTCTTAAAGGGTTAAAGCACCTTCCCCTTTCCTTTACAATGAGTGGAAAAATATTATTATGGTATGTTTAAATACTCCTGACCAATCTCTTGTCAATGCATAGTTTCCCCCAAAAAAAAAGGGAGGGTCTTGCTAATTTCTTTCCCTCTCACAGCATGTGGTACTTACTGGTACTCAACAATGGCAGATTTTGGGAATGCCCCATTTGTCATATTATTAAAATGCTATATGCATCAATAAACAGTTGTAAGTATTTGTTTTTGTTTTGTTTTGGTTTTTGTTTAATGATGGTCAAAAACTGACCCAGAAGTCAGTGAAAAGTCAGGATAGAGTGAGGGAATTTTTTGGTTTCTGATGAGTGGCAACTCTGTATTAATATTTTAAATAAAGTGAAATGCATGATTTATACAGTACTTTTCCTTGTTTTAAATTAGGTCCCTTGGGGTTTCCAACTTTGGTGTTCCTCATTTAGAGGAGATGGAAAAGGCAGGACTTCCTACACCAGCTGTCAATCAAATTGAGCTCAATCCTTTTTGGCGATTAGATGACATTGTGAATCATTGCAGACAAAAGGGAATTGCATTAATGGGCTACTGCCCACTTTTTCGTGGAAGGAAAAATAATGACCCAGTGTTGGTTGAGATGGCAAGTAGGTAAGGCTCTCATAGTACTGTATTTAGTTCACTTATGTTACCATGAAATCTCAGTTCCAAAAAGTGGTTTGGATATAATTTCATACAGTTGAATCTTCCATGAGCGTCCACCTAAAATGCAAAAATTTAGTGGTCATTTAAGGGAGATGGTTGCTTCACGGCAAAAAGCGAACCACAGGAGGAATAGAATAGGTCCAGACAGATCTAAATTTTGGAATAGAGTTTATTATATGCAATTCTAAATTGCGAATTGTGGCTGTCATTTAAAGTTCTTTGCATACTTTGATTAGTGTAGTGCATACAGCGAACATTGAGATCAAACCATGCCTCAAGTAGGTTACAGAAGGATAAATACAAAACTGCCAATATCATCCAAAAAACTGGTATTGAGAGGTGCTTCCAACTTTATTGATTTGACTAGAAAGATTTCGGTATTTTTTTGAATAGGTGGTGGCACGTGGCGCTTGATGCATCAGCTGTAAAAATAACCACTTACATTTTGTGAACCTTGGCTTACTTTTGAATTTCTTCAAGAAGAGTTTCATTCATTCAAATTAGTCCTCAAAAACTCGACTTTGTCTCGTTGTTTTTATTTTTGTTAGTGTGAATGTTGTTGTTTTCACCTACTTCATGCTAGTCTAAACACTGATTGGTATTTGTTACATCACTGACGTCGTAAGTATTTGAAGAACTCCTAAAGCCGAATGTCATGTTCTATTTTTCCTTTCACGTTTAGGTACAAGAAAACTGTGCCACAGCTTCTGATTCGTTGGAGTGTACAAAAACATTATACAACTATCCCCAAGTCAACTCAAAAGGACAGAATTATTGAAAATGTAGACGTTTTTGACTTTGTCATTACTGAAGAAGATATGAAAGTTTTGGTAAGTGTTTCGTGTCACGGACTCACTGGACGCTTTTTTTTTTTTTTTTTGGACTCGAAGAAACAGCATCCATCCTGAATTTTTCTTTGCTATTCTAAAGTTTTAGAACTGAGATTTTGAAATAAGAGCTTAGTAGCCTCAGAGAACAGCTGACATTTTGCTACGCCACCACGCGAAATGAAGTCTGAGAAACGAGAACAGAAATTCCAAAATTCTGCTCAGACACCCTTATTCTGCTCGAATTCTGCTCGGTATCCGAAAAATTAAGTTTTCAAAAATCACAATTTCAATCCGAATTAATCTACTTCTTCAAGTTCCTCCATCCGAGCTTTCTTTTGTATATGTCGCCATGTGTGTGATTTCTGTATCTTCTTTGAATGTTTTGTGCTGTAATTTTTATCTTTCTCGCAATTTAGTGACACTGGTCCCACTCACTGAATCTCGACAAATTTCTTGACACAGCTCAGCTTAGAAGTACAGTATGTTGCCCAGTATCCGATCACTTCAGTTAGCTAAGAACATTACAATAACTTTCCTTTCTTAGCCGCAAGTATTCTGAAATTTGGCCCAGAGACTATTTATTTAGTCCTTAATATCATAATGACGAAAGACAGGTTAGAGTGTTATGTAGGGTGCGTCAAGTCCGCGTTGAAAGCTTTCCAGCATCACTGGCGAACTTAAGCAAAATTCACTAAGTCAGAAGTTCCGTAATTTCGTAAAGGTGCGATTGTCTTAGACTTGGACTTCTAGGCCGTGCCTTATCATTGTTATGCTCAAACAACAGAACTCTTTTCTGTTAATTGTTTCTTCCACTCCGGCCTGTGTTGTTAAAAATTAGTGCCAGTTCAGCAACAGAACGCTGGAGAAACCTCCTCAGCGAAATAATTATAAGCACCTGTCTTCAGCTTGTAGGGGAGAGCCAAAATTTTCAAGAAGTAAACCAGAATAAGCTCCGGCAAATTGATACAAAAGTGAGCCGTCTTTGCTCGGTCGCCTGAAGCATCCGATTTACGACTGTACCAGCTTTTTCCGTCTCACGCTAAGCATTGTAGAACGAAGAAAACATTCTTGTTGGAATACTAATTAAAAGTATTTTCGATAATGGGCACATTATAAGTAAACATGCTGTAAGGAACGTTTCCGTTTAATTAACACAAAATTTGTCGTTCTGATCAGTAAACTCGACTGAAATTTCATTCGCGTTTTAGTCGAGTTCATGGAGTTTTTTAAGCGGATTCTCTCAGCTTTTGTCGTCGTATTTTGGTTGTTTAACATTGGGCAAGAAAATAAATGAAGAAGACATGCAGAGAATGAGTTTTAACACGTAATCAGAAAATACAAACAATATATTTGTTGTGTCTATTTTCACAAAAAGACCAAACTTATAAACCTTAAACACCATTGCAATTTGCCTTAGACTTCATTGAAGATTAATTTATATATGCTTTAATGGACGTCATACTCATGCCAAGCGCTATTGTTGTTCGCGGTTATTTACAAGGTTTAGCATTTGCAGTCATTATATTTGGTGCCTGTGAGGGGACAAATGACTGGTATCTACGTTTGAGTTCAAACTAGTCATTTTCACGGAGAGAAAATTCACTCTACAAAGAATTGAAGATTAAAATTTGAGCAACTATTACAAAAATCTCCAAAACAAGCTAAAATGATTAACCGTATTTTTTTCTATAAAAACGTTTCAGGAAAAGCAACCTTTACCTGAAATTTCAATCAACAGAGTTAAAAGATCCGTTTTAAATTACAGGCCAACTTGTTTTCATTAACTATTACAGAGAATAAACAAAGTTTAAACCGTGAGTAACTGGGAAGTTCGAGAGGCCCTACCGCGTAAAATTAATGTTTTATTACTTCATCATCCGACTGACCTTCTCGTTGGCAAACTAATTTAAAGAAAAGGATGACGACTGAGACAATTTAATTCCTTTTTAAAAATCCACGAGTGATTCTTTTTATCTTAGTGAACTCAGACGTTACTAAATTATTTAATATTACTTCATTCTAATCGGGCATTGAAAACGGAAAATCGTTTTTGAATTTAATTATACTCTTTTCAAAAATTGCAACATCATATTTTCATTATATACTACGAAAATACGAAAATCCATGTATACTGCAGTGCACAAAAGGGTGGTAATTCTAGAAAGTAAACGAGAAAGAACCTGAAGAACCCAGTCACCATCTCATTTATAGAATTGGGAGCTCAGAACCTATCATCTACCTTAAAGGGTGAAATACGAAATTAATAAATTGAAAAAAAAAAGGATAAAATGAATAAAAAGCGATGAGCTTACTTTTATCTGTAGATTTATCATTTTTATTCTAAGGGAATTCTACAGTTGGAGCTGACTTAAACAATTTTAAAGATACAAACTATGCTAATAAATAATTAACTATCTCATAAAGACCAGACATTTAACTGATGACTAATAAGCCCTGATGACATTTTCTGCTTTTCCATGAAAACTGTCTGATCGCAATCGGGAGCGATTCATTCCCTATCAAGGCCTTCAGTATGGCAAGCCGTTTAGCAGTGTTAGCGCTCTTGCTGGCTTGTGTTGTTTGGGGAGCTTGGCTAAACTACGTTGCAACTGCTCGCGTCGAAGGTGAGGCCGGTTTACAGATTTAGCTATTTTCTTTTTCAGGATTTTTCTTCGTCAACATCAGCTATAACCTTTTTTTTTGTGTCTTTAGCAGCGAAGATCAAGATTTGCCATTATTTCAGCTATTATTTACGCAAAAGACCTTGTAAGGTCGCAATTTGTCAAGAAAGCTTAATTCATCGCTTCAACTCTAGGAGAATTTTGTCCAGCGCGCCGACGACTGAACCACCACCTGAACCGTTAGCCTGAGTCACATACAACTTAAGTATGAAACGAACGCGGATTTTTCAGAACGGCTTAGGTGAAGTTGGGTTAAATTTGTAGATGTGACTTAACACTCAACGGAGATTTTGCCATCACGGGAGAATCTTTAAAATTTTCGCGTTTAAGTACATCACATAACGGACAGTTATCTAAGCAGTAATTAAACTGCATTTTCACCGTAAGAACATCCACTGTGCAAAGGATATCGAAATTTGAGTAATAAAACTAGTGAAAAGTTTCCAAAACAAGCAAAAATGTTTTTATTTGTTTGTTTTGTTTTTCTTTTTTCCAAAAAGCTTTACGAGAAAAGCAACCTCTGCATTAAATTTTAATAAACAATTGGTCAGGAGTTGAAATATCATTCTTGAATTATGTTACTCGCCAACGTTCTTTAAAATCTGTAACACAGTGTAAACAAAATTTAAATCGTCTTTAAATCGGAAGCTCGAAAAGGCCACACCCTAGTGGTGTTTTCCTGGTCCCCGAGTTTTGAAGAGAAAGCCCAGTAACGTTAGAATGCTGGCGGATGCTGGAGGAAAAGGTTTAAACCCCGAGGTACTCCGATTAAATGACCAATACTGGGAGACTCCGCCCGAAAGGGGCACCTTTTGTAGCGTAAGGATTTCACTATAGTTAAAGTATATGAAAAGGGAGGGAAATCTGTCACTTCGGACGGTAAAAGAGAGAAACAGGTGCATTTTCTGTTCTGGTTTTGTAATTTATTCATAGCGGAGTTCTTGCATGCGCGAAGCGGAGTCCCATGGGTAAGAGAATTTGGTTATCTATACATCCAAGAAATTTTGGTTCTAAGAAAATCATCCGTACATTCGTCTGTAGGTAACTTAACCCTCTCGTGTAAGCCGGGATGAAATGTTGCATTTCAAGCACCTGCCACGCGTTTCGGCATGGCCACCCGGATCCTTAGAGAGAATAAACAACAAACACAACAAAGCCGATTCTTTCTTTCGACTAAATTTCAATGTCTACATTGATGTGGATAACAGAGAAAAAGCTAGACTGAGAGATAAAAAACAAAGGAGACCAAGTTCGTTGGAAGTGAGAAAACTATGAAATTTTTGTACCGGCAGTGAGAAAATGAGAAATGCTAGCGGCCACCGAGGTGAAAATAGTCATCAACGGCAGTGAAAAAAAAAAGGGAACAGGAACACATACGACATTTGCTCCATAAAACGCGTTACTAGGAAGTTTCTGGAAGTTTCACGTTGTAGTCGTGCAAAACAACGACAAAGAAATGTACAAAAAAAGAAATTGTGCTGCACCCGGCAAAGTTGTTTTTTTCCTAAGTAGACCTACTGATTTTATTTTGGCCGTTTTGGTTGCCGTCTCCGCTTAGCATTACACGATTTTATACTTTGTTTGAGTTAACTATAAAAATTAACGAGCGCTTTAAACCCAGCACATTTACGACAGTCAAAAGGGAGATAAAATTAACGTTCTAAACTAGATTTGTGAAAGGGGTACCATTTTGTCAATAGAAGGTACATAAAAAGGGTACCCCTTCTAGCAAAAATGGTATTTAAAAGGGTAAAGGGTTGGACATCGGAAGGAGCCTTCCCGTATAAAATTTTGTTGAGTACCCCCGGGGTCTGAACAGTTTTGAATAAGAAAATGCATTTCGTGCAGGTTTAATACAAAAATGGAATTGGATGAGCGCGAGTAAAATTTTTGCACTGGCCCGTTAAAATGTCAAGTAATTCTGGAAACATTTTCGTGCAACTTGTCGCACAACATTGTTGCATTGCAAGTTGAAAAGCGTTGTTGCTCCCAACTTCGCTCCCAACTTGTGACGCAACAAATTTCAATGTTGCAAGTTGCGGCAACATGTCGCACAAAGTAGGCCTGAGTTCTACTTTTTGCTACAAACTTTCAATTTTATGTTTTGCGTCACAACTTGCTATGCTTCACAACACTTGTGATTGGTCAATTTTCCGGCACCAAAAGCGCGGGAAAGATGGTGAGTAAGCGCGCGCTTGACCTCATGTAAATTTTGGGCAGGAACTAATTATAAATGGCCCGTCAGGACGAGTGCAATTTGCGGTCTTTGAAAATTTTACAGGTCCTCTGCATTTCTTGCAAATTACATGAGAAAAATCATGTGATTACTAATTAGTATACATACCGTTATTGCAGTGCAATAAAGTCACTCAAATTCTCTCTTAATTATATCAATTTCTGTTTCAGGAACCTGCGGACAAAACAACCGACGCATCACATTTCTGACACCAGTCGGAGGGTTTTACCTTGAAGGACACGTGTTTTCAAATCATTCTGTGGAACTAAACCTAGACTGCCAAGACCAATGCGCCCTTGCGAGGGAATGTGTTTCATATAATATTGGTCCAAAGATCAACAACAAGATGGCCTGTGAACTCAGTAATTCCGATCACTTTCAGCACCCAGAAGATCTCAAACCAAGAAAGGACTGGATGTACAGAGGGACAAAGGTATGATCTGTAAATTTGTAATGTACGTAACTTTATTTCTTGTAATAATTGCAACTCTGTTAAAGTGTGTCACGAGTCGATAAAAAGATTGTTGTTGTTGCAAATAACGTTGCCAAGTCAAGATGAATTTTGAACCATTTCCACCATCATGTAGTGGTTGATTTATGATAATTCCAAGCTTCTGATGATAAAGATGATAAAAATGTCGGTGTTGGCGGTATATGCAGTTTCCTATAATTTATTTTAAATTCTAAATCTCCTCTTCGGATTGGCTGCAATCCGCCCTTTAAATTTTCATAATTATACTTTAATTTAAAAACCTGGATGATTTATGTCCATTTTTCAACTATACATAATTATGTGTTTGTATTATTGGACGCTCGACGACGGTGGTCTAACTTACAAAAAAAATGTATTAAATAACGTCGCACACCAAAAAGAGAACAGTTTTGGGAGTAAAGAAAAGAGTTGAAAACTTTAGCACTAAAAAAAGATACAGTTTAGCTTCCATTAAGTGCCCATTATTATTATTATTATCGACTTTCGGTTTTTGTTTTCGAGCCTTTTTGGGCTGCCGGTCGCGCGGGATATCTTTTCGTTCCAAAAGCGGTATTTTTTTTTCCTTTCGTTTACGTTTGAATAAAAATTATTGCATAATTCCAGCGAAAGAATAACGGAAAGGTTTAAATAGGAATAGGGTTCATCGTAGTTCATCATAGCCTACGAGAAGCTGATTTAAATAAAAATTCATTGAAGCTGCGTTTCTTTAACAGAATCTTTGTGCCAGTCAACCTTGCCTGAATAACGGAACGTGCTACATGGGATATACCGAGAAGAACTACGTTTGCGCTTGCACAGCTGGTTTCAAAGGTGAAAACTGCGAACAAGGTACTCTCATCCCATTGTTGTCACCTCTATTAAGCGGCCATCAGGCACTTGACCGACTATTTTTTGTAAGTTTGGCTTTATTTCAAGAATATGATAAAGGGAAACAGTCCGAGATAGACGTTGACGACCGATTGTGGACCAGAAATGCTGGCGCCGTCGCGTGTTTTTTTTTTTTTTTTAATAAGGTAATATTTCTGCTAAAGATTATGCTAATTTATGACGAGGTTATATGACTAACTTCTTAGTCACGCGTCTTTCATATTGCATTAAAGTGATAAGGATTCGAAATGCTGTAGCTGCATTCGTGTTTTCCAGTTTACAGAAATTGTGCTGAGCTCTATGAAGCCGGTTTTCGAACCAGTGGTGTCTACACTGTCGACCCTGATGATGCTGGAGCCTTTGATGTGTACTGTGACCAAAAAACAGCCGGTGGGGGATGGACTGTGTTCCAAAAGAGACTGGACGGCTCGGTAGATTTCTATCGCGGCTGGGACGACTACAAAGGAGGCTTTGGAAATATGAATGGTGAATTTTGGCTCGGACTAGAAAAGATTCACAGACTGACAAAAGAACAATGCAGGCTTCGGGTAGACCTGGAAGACTTCGAAAACCAAACAGCTTACGCTGAATACGACTCCTTCGGTGTTGGTGATGAACAGAGCAAGTACAAGCTGGGACTTCTTGGACAATACGCTGGTAAGACATAATACTACACAGGAGCCTATGATGGGCCCCTGTACTACATTAATGATGAAAACCATAAAAAGGGGTAACGTTTAGGTTACTATTTGAGAGGTCACAGTTATTCAAAATTTAAAAACTTAGAAATTTAGAAACTGGCAACTGTCGTCCGGTATTCCTGTACCCGATCTTTAACTCAGACGTTTCTTAGTTTCACCGATCTACTATGTTTCAGCGATTGCATTGTTTTAACGCGATTCTTAGTGTTGTGAGAGAACAGTTTGTTCATAGTAGCTTGCTATAAGCACGCGTGATTATTCCAACTCGCTTTCTTTGACAAATGTAGACGAATTTCAGGGTCGAAACGAGTTATGGGATCAGGAATAAAAGGAAAAAAATGGGGTGGGATCAGGGATCACAGGCCCGGGATCTGGGATCCTTAGTCGTGGGATCGGTATCGGTAGTGCTACAGGTGATCAGGGATAGTTTTCCGACAGAATTGCGAAAAAATGCTTTAATGGGAAGGACCTGCCCTCGTTTAAAAACTCAGTTGCTCAGTTGTACTTTGGTGTAACACTGATTTGTTCCGGTACTTAAGTGTATGCAATACGACTTTTTTAGTACACCGCTGACTCTCGGCTGGGAGTTATCTAGCTATTGACTCATTTTTTGTAACTATACCTTACATTCACTGAAATACCGAATTGGTCTGGGTTTTTGACCACCAAATAAGGACTTAAGAACCTTGAAATTCATACCATGGTCATTACCTTTTGCTAATGATTTCCCTCTGTACAGTCAAGAAGACTTTTGAAGGGACTGATCAAACAACGTGAAATAGAGTTTAGTTGCGATATTTCGACTGGCCAATACCAGTCTTCATCAGTTTTATTGAGATATTACGAATTTTCAGAAAAATATATGAAGTAAAATAATGACCAGAAATTACATACGTGGTATGGTGTGGCTACGTACTTTAAAAGACAAGACAACAAAAAAATAAAAGATGTACCATATATAGTTACAGTTCATCACGTTTATTAATGCCCAGAGGCTCAATTGTCTTAGCTTTGTGGATAAGGTGGGCTTCGCTTGCTTTCCTGAAGGAATCACGCCCCTTTTTAAGTTTTTCAATAGGAATCAAAAGCATATGATTGTCGGAATGATTACTGGTTAGAAACTGTTCTGAAACTGCACTGAGTATGGATGTAATTACCAGTAGGGTTGAGTATAGTTCGTCTGTGTTCATTAAAACGGTCTTTGAGGCGACGATTAGTTTCTCCACAGTATTGTAGATTACATAGGCGACATTGAATCAAATAGATAACATTAAAAGTTTCACAAGTGATATGAGATTTGATGTGGTGGGTTTCACCTGTAGAATGAAAAGTGTATTGATTACGGCCATGTTCAATATAGGGACAGCTGGTGCAATTATATACATGCCTTTTCGACAATAAAAGACAAAGTTTTTCAATGGACAAAACCCTATTATTACGGCACTCGTTATTGCACTTGGTACTGTAAACTTCTATAATAATTGTATTTTCTCCTGTCCATGCTCAAGAGAGCATACGTGGTCTCTTGCAAGCCTTTAGCAGCTCCCGATTCCAAGCCTCTGATGATCAACGCAAATTACTTTTAAATATCAAGTGGCAAGTGTTGGGAGAAGACGGCAAATGACGAAGCCTGTTCTTATTATGTTAGGGAGAAAGTGTGCGAAACATCTTAACCAAACTTACAAAGCTTACAAGGCGAAAGAATTGTCGATCCTGGATCTGTAAAATAATGTAGTTTCTTAGCTCGTTGTTCAGGCCAGTGACCATTATCTTTACCCAGAGAGAACTCAATCTGATCTCTTTTTGTTAATTAAAAGTTAGTCAAAATTCTCGAAAAGTCTTGCTTTTTTGAATAGCTTGCCCGACGCAGCTTACTCCATCCGCAGTAAGCTGGTAAACTGCTTACAATTATGTTATGGCGTAATTCAAGCGAATATAATCTAAATCTACATCAGTAAGAGGATTAGGTCGGATGGTGATGTATACAACTAGGGGTCATGTGGCTGAAAAGAGTTGTTAACCGGTGCTACCGAGGCGACGACTGAGAAAAAGCTAGCTAGTGCATACCCCATTCATTCTGAGGTGATCAGCCAATCTTACTGACATTTCTTTTTGTGTTAATAAAATTTTGCTAAATGGAATTGATCTCGTTTTAAAGGGAACAGGGCAAAAAACAAAAAGTACTAAAATGATACTAGTACTATTATGATAGAAATGATGATAACTGATAGAACTGACTGGAGCAAAAAACTCTTCAATCAGTAACTTGGCTGGGACTCTGCTGAAGAAATCGAGAGACACTTTATTTTGTATTTTATTCAGGTTTTATCGATTAGAAAGTTCCACCCGTTTACTTTTACTTAGGGACTGGTCAAAAAGTATGGAGGGGGGGGGGGGTGGTCCGGAGCATTTCAAAATGTGGTTGATAAAAAACACATCGCCCACCCCCTCCCTTCGGCACAAAAATGACTGACCCACCCCTAAAGCAAGGTTGGAAATTGCATGACACACCTCCTAGTTAAAACATGGATGTTTGGTTTCCTCTTAAATTAATCCAATAAAAGCTTGTTCTGTGCTTGACAAAATTTGTTGATGCACTGCTACAACCAATATCAAAATCACAGAAATCATACCTTTCACTGAAAAGACAAATGTGAAAAACCGAACATTTCTTGTTTCGATGGACGTTATGAGTCTTGACACAAATATACAGCAAAACGAGGGTATATTGAACTTGTCTGTCGCAAAGCATATGAAAATTTCTTCAAAGACAACCCATTCCTGCATTCATAAACCCATTCCTTGCCGGAAATGGTTAGATTAATCCTCAAAGAAAATTTCTTCCACTTCAACAAGTGGAAAGCACTACCACAAAACCATTGAACTGCAATGGGCACAAAGACAGCAGTTTTGATTCCTTTGCCAATATTTTCATGACATAATTGAAACAACAACTCTAAGCAAAACTGTCTTTAGAACAACAGTTTAAAAATGCTACATACACGATATCTTTTCCCTATGTGACGTGAGTAAACCAGACATCGAAGCCTTCATTGAACAAGCAAACTTACATCACCCAATTAACTATTGAATTCATGGCCAAAACATTTGACACTGAGACTGCGTTTTTAGACACGGTCGTAAACAGAGGCACAAGATTCAAGGAAAAATCTATCCTTGATGCAAAGACACATTTTAAACAAACGGAAGCAATCTCGTGCACACACATTTCACCTCGTGTCACCCTCCAAATGTTAAAAAAGGATTTGTTAAAGAAGCCTTGAGAATCCTACGAAAAAACTCCTCAGAAACAACCTTTGAGGAAAATAATTCACATTAAAGAAAAAAAGAAAAGAAAAAAAACGCTTGTTGGACGGAGGCTACCCACAATCTGATAGAAAACCTACTATCAGAAATAAAATTCACAAAAGGGAGTCTAAACTCCTAAAACAAAACAACAAGGTGAAAAAAGAAATATTGCCATTCCTGACAAAATACCAGCCCTTAGTGTCTACTATAAAGGAAGCTTGAATGAAAAAATGGAATCTTATACAAAACCAACTATAACTTCAATAAATTTTTAAAGAACCACCAATCATTTCCTTACAAAAAAGGAAAACCATTAAAGGACATGCTCGTTAGAGCAAAAAAAAACAAAGGTTGACGGAGGGTTCCACGCCCGTATAAATGTGCAGCCTGTCTTGCACAACAGGTTTGTGAGTATTTTAGCAGTAATTCCAGCTGGCTGTGTTTTATATAACTAGTGTAGTCAACTGTCTCGTTAGTAGTTAGTGCCTATCTATGTATAAAAGGGTAGCTGAAAATTGCACGACCCACCCCTTTCACAAGGCTCAAAACCTCATGACCCACCCCCTCTCTACCCCACCCCCCGCCCCTATACTTTTTAACCAGTCCCTTATGTTCAGATAAAATAACTAAAGATTAAAGAGAGCTAAACACTCTGATAAGTAGACTGCATGTAGTATAGTTAAGGTTAAATGCCCCATTTTTCACGGTAAAAATTTTACTTATTTGGAGTGCTGGTACTTTCTCACTTTCCAGCCGAAACGCCTAAAGAAGGGTTATTTAGGACCATTAATAAAAATTTATGGTACGAAATGAGGTTGTTGTTTATCTTTTTAGGAACTGCCGGTGACTCTCTTGCATGGCATCGTAATATGCCATTCTCCACCAGAGATCAAAACAATGACCAAGCCAGCCATATTATTAACTGTGCCATTAAGCATGAGGGAGCCTGGTGGTACCATCACTGTCACTATTCCAACTTAAATGGTCGCTATCTTAATGGGAGTCACTCCTCTTATGCCAACGGTGTAAACTGGTATCACTGGAAAGGCTATCATTACTCCGCCAAACGAGCTGAAATGAAAACCAAACCTTGATAAATGAACTGTGTAAGTCTATAATGATCAGTGTGTTCTACTTTGTATATCTGCGCTGAAAGACCAATTAGCGGTAATCCGGGATTAAAATTTTGTTCCGTTTTCGTATTCACCTTCCCAATGTATGGCTTAGAGTTACATTTTGAGTTATTATTACTGTATCTCCGAGTAAAGGCTTAACAGTATTTTGTAAACACGAGTTACATGTTCATAGACAAGAAAACCTTTGGTTTAATGCTGGTTTAAACTTTTTGTCTTGGTTAAAACCATCTTTCGAGGAACTGGGCCCTGAGCTACGGACTGAGGTTTCAAGAGAAACGATCAACAACGCACAAAGCTGTATGCACACTTTCTCTTTGGATATGCATTTTGTTTTAAGTTGAAAACAATCATAATCGTTTCATTATCATAATAGTCATAATCATAATCTTATAATAGTAAAAGTAGAAGAAAAACAAGAAAATTGGAAGAAAACGAATAAAAGAAAAACAGTGTGCAATAAATAAATATAACCGTGCATGTATTGGAACTACAAAGAGTCATCACCTGATACCGCAATGTCCGTTATAGAGAGGTTAGTTTATATGAATTATCTCTCCTTTGTCTCTTGGGTAGAGACTATACTTGCCACAAGTCCACTGCGTGAGCGCTGAAGGCGCGAGTGACGTCCAGCAAAAACCGGAAACGGGATGAGAAAGTATAAGTAGAGACTCGAGGCGCCTCCATTGGGTGTTTAGTGAAAACTCTCCCAAAAAGCAAATTTCATTTTCAAGATGATCGTTCTAGTCGGTTTGAGTCCTGACTTTTCTGGTAATCGCCTCCTTCCTGGTCCTTTGTCCGTTTATATATGGAGTCTTTTTTATCTTTTCAGAGGAAAAATTGTGAGAATTTTGTTCGAAAATTGTCTGTGATAAAGAGGTGTTTTATTGAGGTGGCTCGACTGTATGTAATTTGCAGTTTTTTTACAATTTTTGGTAACACATACATTTTTAGCAATTGTCAGGTGCAACAGTGGTGCGGTACGTTTATATAAGAGATCTTAACATACCGTAAATTATATAATTGACCGCCCCCCCCCCCGCCCCCCCCCCCCTCTCAGAAAAACGTCTCTTGTCTAAAAAACGCCTCTATAGCTACAATGTTTGTATTAGACGCCCTCACTAATAAACGCCCTTTATCTAATAGACGACCTCCATGACAGTTATTTCAAAATTCTAGGGAAAAGTAAAAAGGAGAAAGATCATTTAATATACTGTCTCTTACTTGATGGGTTTTCTCATTGCATCAATGTATACGTAAGGATAGACTAACGATGACTAGGATTCTGACATCGAAGTAGCGAATATGGATCTCTGAATCTCTAGACGGCCAAGATGTATCAATTGATTGACTGGATATTCCACTGTTTACAAAGTTAACACTCATCATTAGTTTTGGGGTTCCAAAAATGAAAATAAACGCCTCTCTCTTTAAACGCTTCCTATCTATTGAAAGCCCTCTTTTGGACCCCTAAGATTACATAAATGCCATGGGCGTCTATTTGATTATGTAAAGTACACTTTTTCCGTGTACGGGTACTGTACGGGTAGCTTACTCGTACCCGCAGCAAAGAAACTGGCTGATTGTTTCTTAACGGGTCGGAAAGGCTACTGGGTATAACGGTGATAGCATTATTATCGGCTCTTCTTGATAAACATAATTGCCTACTGCGTGACAAACAGATTCGAATACCGGCGCCTGTAGAGACTCAAATGGTGTATCTTAAGCTCCCTACAGCTTTCCTTATACAGTAATTTACTGCAAGCTGTATCACTTGACCGATTTTGCTGATGATTTGAATGACTTGATTGATTTCCTTTCATTACCGTCTCTTGAATATTTTCATTTGATTATGTACTTTCAAGGCATTTATGGCAATTAGTTTTTTTTATCTCAAGGGAGAAATTCGGGTCGGAGTGTTTTTTTGTTGTTTTTGGCGATTGTGAAAGACTGGTTGCTCTTGCTGTGGTAGCTTGCATAGCTGGCCCAGCTTGATCGTCAGTGCGCGCAAATTTTTTCACAAACGAGTCATAGAATGTTTTACTGGCGTTCAGATTTAAGACGGAACCAAAGAGTGTGAGCGGGAAAAACAGCGAGAGGATGGGGTAGCGGGTGAGAGCTCTCTCTCACCCTTAGTTCCTCCTTTTCAGTTATTGTTTCCCGCTCTCTGATCTCGGGCCACACTACACATGATCTGAACGCCGGGAACAGGCTAGAGGCCGCCTGATGTAACGGAATCCGCATTCCGGAATCCAACAATGTTTTGCTTGTGGGATCCAGAATCTGGGAAAATTTGCTTTTGAATCCCAAATCCTGGACTTTGGAATCCGGAATACAGCTCAAGGAATCCGGAATCCCACCGACAATTTCAATCTAGAATCCAAGTACAGGTCCACCGACAAAGACTGAAATCCACCACCTGGAATTCCGGAATCCACGAAGTGGAATCCCAAGATTGTCTTGGATTCCCTTACATAGGGTGTACGTGGTTACGAGTTGCGAAGCAGCCTAGAAACTGTATGCAATGGACATTCTGGGATCATGACAGGTGAATTAACATGCACATATGCTGTAATTCATTCAATTACAAATAAAAACGCCTTGCTTTAATGTAATTCCCTTAAGGGGCTTAAGGTTTTAGTAACATTCATAGTTTTTGCTATAAAATAAGAATTTTCGACGGTTGTTTAAATTTCGAACATTTCGCGCGCAACAAGGAAAAAACAGTCAGAATTACGGGAACGCAAGGCGAAAACAAGCACGCGTACTGTGACCCCATCTTTTTATTGCAGTTTTTGAATGTCCTATATGTTTCTGACATTTGTGCCAATGCAAGTTTGAAAAAAATCTGGATAGTACATCATTTTCAAGGGAAGTACCTTAACGTGGATGAGTGCGACACTTTAAAGTCTTCATTTTACAACGGTATATTAAGTTAGCGAAGAAAACGTTTTTCGGAAAAATGTTTGCACTTTGTTTCGGCAAGAACCCGTAAACATTTAGTGATACAAGGTATCTTTTTTTTTGTTTTAATTTAAGGTACATAGGGTGGGATTTGGTACTGAAACTCTCTCGTGTTTGAGTATCATCTCAGCCCTTACCCTGTGGTATTGATAGGCCGATATACCGATAATTCAGTTATAGTGTGCAATTGTTGCAGGAGTTTTGGATTTTTTTCGGATCGGCGATGTTTTGGGAAATGTTTTAACGCTAGTTATATGGGAAGTACATTGTGTTTACTTTAATGGTTATAATACAACCAGTATGCAGGTGGAACAACATTCAAATGCATATCCGCAAAATAGGTCCCTTTATTCTAAGTCACTTATCTATATTATTGGCTAGGTTGACTTACTTTAATTTAGGCCTATATATATTTCACGTCTTCTTCAAACTTTGAAGTAAATTTCTACAGAGGAAGGATTCGTTTTGTAAGCGAATCGTGGTAAAGTAAAAAAATATATAACCCAGCGTCGATTAGCAGCCAGATAGTAGCAATCCCACGGTGGTTACAGAAATTGGCCGTGAAGAATAATGGGGGCCAGAAGAACTACAGACAGCTGGAAAAACCCTTTCAAGTAATTATTAAATAGGATTCACTTATTGCTGGAGACGAGTATTTCAATGGGCTTCACGTTTATCTCTTAATCCTCCCACCTCCCCCTTGCAAGGTTGTGCCAAAAAACACCCATTTTGCCGAAAATGGAACATTATTTGGGGTTGGAGCCCCCCCTCCAGCTTCGTTCTACTATTGCCTCGTTGACAAAAGCAAGTCTCAGGCACATTTTGACAACTTTGATTGGTTCCAAGAAAATGACAAAAGATGTTAAAGACTTCGATTGCGGCAAGAGCCATGGCTCTTGATGGCGGCTAAAGATCTTCAGGTAACAAGAGATAAGAGGGCTTCTACATACAAACAAACAAACAAAACACACCTAAATTCGAAATGCAACTAACTTCTGACTGACTAATTAACTTGGATCCTTTTATATGCCTCAAATGTCACCATAGAAAGAACAAAATGAGCTGTTACTAAAAAAATACTGTTGTTTCTTTTTTCTTTAAATAGATTTTCTCTATTAGAAAAGGAAGCTGAACTGTAAACACCTTTTTTTTTTCTTTTAAATATGTTTTTTTCTGTTGAAAAGGGAAGTTAGACTGTAGAGACACATTTATTTGTTTTCGGATTTCTTAACGAAATCCTTGCCAGTGTAAAATTAACGATACATACGTCCATGACTAGTACATTTCAGTATGAGTATTGTCAATGTTCTACATTCAAAAGATGCGATAAATTCAGACTAAAGTGTACCAGTCATGGAGGTATGTATAGTGCGCATTATTTTGGAAAAATTAGCATCACGTCAAAACAGTTAATATTGTAACGCAGAGGTTTGACAGGTTCGTAGGATAGGTTTGTCTTGAAATTTCAAGGTGTTGCAGTGATGGGCTCCTGGCACATTATAAAAATTATTTGAAGAGATTTTAAAAAATTCGTTCTAGTCGTTTCAGAGATATACAAAAAAGCGCGAAAAGTCCAAAATTTTGAATGAAGTTGCACTTACACAGGTGGTGCCGGAAAACGGGTTAGTTTGCAAGATCCCAAGAACGAAAATACACCAAAATTCCCTAACATCAAAATATGATATTAATCAGCATTCTGACGCTACTTAATAATAATTTGCGGAGTCATTTATAACGTTTTTATTAACTAATCTATCACGGCTATTGAAAATTTAAGGTTTGAAGTATATTTCCGTTTTAGTCGAATTGGCTTATTTTTTTTCTAAAACGCTTTACGGCAACCCTTTCCTTAAATCAACAGAGTTAAAATACCGGTTTTAAATTACACGTCAACTTTTTCCATTAACCTAATTACAGAAAATAAACAAAGTTAGTAAAAGGGAAGTTCGAGAAGCCCTACTCGTAGAATTAATGTTCTGTTATTTCATCATCTGACCGACCTTATCCGCGCTGGCAAACTAATTTAAAGAAAAGGAGAAGGAAAAGATAACTTAATTCCTTTTCAATCAATCCACGAGCAAAGCATTTTTTTTTTCTGTTTGAACTCAGATGCTACTGAATTAGGGAATTATTTAATATTAATTCATTCTTATCAGGCATTGAAAGCGGAAAATCGATCTTGAAT